CAATCCCCTTAGCCTTCCACTCCCCTCCCCCCCCTTTCCTTCCTTCCTCCCCCCCATCCCCTCCTCTCCCCCTCTCCCCCCTCCCCCCCCACCCCACCCATACATTCTACCTCTTGCTTCCCATCCTCTCTCTTACACCCCCCTCCCCCCCCCATGCGATCCTTCCCTCCCCCCCTCCACCCCCCATCCCCCACCCTTCCATCGGACACGCCCATTATCCTTAACCCCCCCTCCCCCCTCCCCCCCCTAAGGATTATGGTAGGAATTAATTAACTGCACAACTGCCATGATCCGCTTTGTTGTCATGGCAACGTGGAGAGGGGAAAGGGGGGGTGGGAGGGGGAGTGGGTGACAAGGGGGAGGGGTTGGATATGGGGGGATAAAGGGGGGGAGGGAGGATAAAGGAAGGGGAGGGAAGGTAAGGGAAAGGGAAAGGGAAGATGGAGGGGGGTGGGGGTGGAGTGGGGGGGGGAGATAAGGAGGGTGGAGGGATAGGGAGAGGAGAAGGGGTACGAAGGAGTGGGGAAAGGGAAGAGGGAAGAAGGGAAGGAGGACAAGAGAAAGGAGGAAGAGGAAAAATAACATGCCATTTTTAAAAATATTTTGCTATCTCCATTCCCCTCCCCCCCCTTTCCCTTACTACCCCTCACACCTCTTCCCCCGCCCCCTTCTTCCCCTTTTCCTCTCTTACCCCCTCCCCCCCCTTTCCTCCCTTCCCTCGACCCTATATCTCCCTTAAACATCCAATAAAAAAAAAATCCAAAACGGATCATTTTTTTTTAATGCAACATAATTCTACCCATGACATAATTTCCCGGTTAGAAAAATTCCCGGATATACATATATATATATTTTTTCCCTATAGATATTTCCTCCTCCCCCTCCACCCCCCACCCCCCTCTCCATAGGAATTCCACCGAGAGGCCGATTGCAAGTTGCAAAGCTCGAGAGGACAATCACGCACGTTGCTCCTAGGGGAATAGAGGGAGGAAACTTGGCCGGAGAATTATCTTTTCCCTTTTCCCCTTTTTTCCCCTTTTTTTATGAAGGGAGGGATGGGTGGGTGGGAAAGAGGGGAGGGGTGGGGAGGTGGGGGGAAGGAGGGAGGGAGGGAGGGAGGGTGGGTGGGAAAGAGGGGAGGGGAAGGAGGGAGGGATGGGTAGGTGGGAGAGGGAAGGAGGGAGGGAGGGAGGGAGGGGTAGGTGGGGGAGGGAGGGAGGGATGGGTCGGGGGGGTGGGAAGGAGGGAGGGAGGGATGGGTAGGTGAGGGAAGGAGGGACGGAGGGAAGGGTGAGTAGTTGTGGGAAGGAGTGAAGGAGGGAGGGATGGAGAGATGAATGGATGGATGGAAGGAGGTATCGGTGGATGGACGGATGAATGGTGGATGAATGGATGAATGGATGGGTGGGGGGGAGGGAGAGGGAGAAATGAGAGATGTTAGAGCAAGACCAACAAAGCATCAAATTCCTCTCATATTTTCTTTATATTACATAATCAAATCAAAGCGACTCACCTCAACGATTATCAAATCCATTTAAACCTTACATCTTAAGAATCCAACCCGCTCTATTATCCATTCTATTTCCCAATCATTAAATATTTTCAACTTAATGACCGAAAAAAAAATTAATTGTCTTGTCATTAGCTTCACAAGGGGCGCGAATTTCCACATATTTCTTGAGCTAATAATCTTTAATTGAAAGAAGAAAAAGAGGGGGGGGAGGGGTTAATTATCACTCTAATGACTGTCTCCTGTGATTCAGATTTGTGGTGGTGTTCATTGGGTTTCTATTTGGTTTCTGTTAGATTTTTTTTTTGCGTATGGACTTCTATGAATGCTATTGGTGTGTGTCGTTCTTGTTTGGTATATGTCGGTTTCTAATGGTTTATGTGTTTTTTTTATTGGATACCTGTTGGATTCCATTTGTTTTCTATCGGGTTTCTATTCCATTCTCTTGTTTTTATTGGTTTCTATTTGTTGTTGTTTTCGTCATTTAATTTTAGTTCTCTACTTGTCTTCATGGGGTTCAGTTGGTTTCTCCTGGTTTTCTTAGGTCACCGTTGGTTTTCTAACGGTTTTACTAGGATTGAATCTGTGGTTTCTATTGGTTTTAATGGATTTCCACCGGTTTATGCTGCTTTTGATTGCGTTTATGTTGGTTACTTGTTGATGTTGACTGTTATTTTATTTTTTTTATCTATGATTCTTATTCTTTTCATTTAATACTTTGTCTGGTTTTATCGTCGATTGTTCACTAATTCCTTTTGTAAATTGTTCATTCGTTATTTCTGAGGATAAATGGTAATTTTGAACACATAGGCACTCATGCAAGCATAATGTATATAATTCTATACAAAACATTTCTTCTCTCTCGCTGTTCCTCTCCTTATCTCCCTATTTCTCTCTTTCTTGTCTACTCTCTCTTTTTTTCTCTGTGTCCTCTCATTTCTCTCTCTCTTTCATGCCTCATATCTTCTTTCTCTTTCTGTCTGTGTCCCCCTCCCATAGTCTCTCTCTCTCTCTTTCTTTCTTTCTCTCTCTCTCTCTCTCTCTTTCTTTCTTTCTCTCTCTCTTTCTCTCTCTCTCATCCTTCTCCCCTTTTCCGTTCCCTTTCCCTTACACAACCCAAGAACAATCTGTATCACCGCTAATCACTGTCATTAATGACATACAGCAATTCCAGTATCTGTCCTAATTAAGGGTGGGATGGAGGGAGGGGAGGGGGAGGAGGGAGGAGGAGGAGGAGGGAGGGAGGAGGAGGGAGGAGGAGGAGGAGGTAGGAGGAGGGGAGGAGGAGGAGGTAGGGAGGAGGGGAGAGGAGGAGGAGAAGAGGAAGGAGGAGGAGGAGGAGGGTAGAGAGGAGGAGGTGATAGGAAGAGGAGGAGGAGGAGGAGGGGAGGGGGAGGAGGAGGGAGGGGGAGGGAAGGCAAGAGGGGGGAGGAGGGGGAGAAGATCCCTGATCACCTTCGTCTTATCTTTGAAATGTTAATGAAAGTTACTGATGAGTTGATGCTGTTGGTATTTTTTCTTTTCTTTTTCTTATTTATTACTATTTGAAGAAGTCTATATGATCATGATAGATGTTTACTATTTATCTATCTATCTGTTTCTCTATCTTTCTGCTTATATCTCTTTCTGATTCTCCCTCCTCCCTCCCCCCTCTCTCTATCTCTCTTTCTCCATCTACTGACCTACATTTCTACATCTCTCACTCTCTCTCTTTCTATCTATCTATCTATCTCTCTATCTATCTATATATACCCACACACACACACATCTATTAAGGGACGAAGACAAAAATACACACGCCCCCGCCCCCCCCCCCCTCCCCGTCCACTGAGGGCTAATCCTGAGACTTACTTTCTTTCTCTTCGTAGTTCAGCGAAATCCCCCAAAGGACGTGCTCCCCTGATTGCTTTAAGGGCTCGCCTCTTCCCTAAGGGCCTGTCTTTTCCCCAAGGGCTCTGTTTAATACTTGAGGATTTAACGTAATACTTAAAGGGATCGCTTGATACTTAAAGGGTTCTGTTTAGAAATCAGGGACTTCCTTAAAGGTTATTTAGGGTTTGGCTTTTCCTCGAGGGCTCTGTTTAATACTTGAGGACTTAACATCCTAATTTAGGGATTGTTTGATACTTAATGGGTCTGTTTAGAATTCAGGGACTTCCTTAAGGGTTATTTAAGGGCTGGATTTTCCTTAAGGGCTCTGTTTAATACTTGAAGACCTAATGTAATACTTTAGGGATCGTTTGATACTTAAAGAGTTTGTTTAGAATTTAGGGACTTACTTAAGGGCTCTGTTTAATACTTAAAGGCTCGTTTGATACATAGAGGCTCTGATACTTAAGGGCTCTTTCTAGCACTTAAGAACTTACTTAAGGGCGCGTTTAATAGTTAGGGACTCCGATACGCGAGGGCCTGTTTAATGCTTCATTTTTTTTAATTATTATTAGTAAGGTCTCTTTTGATATTCGAGTGGTAACTTATCTATGGGTTTTGTTTAATATATAGCAGCTTACTTAATACCGAAAGACGTTATTATCATTATTGTTACTATCATTATTTTGTCGTTACAAGTTATAACAAGTGGATTAAGTGAATGGATGACTTTCAGATGTTTAAGATGTTTAAGATCAGTCAAATAAATGGCTTTCAAATGTCAAGTGAATTTTTTTTTCTCCTGACTCCAATAATCTAATAAAACTGAATGACTATCAAACATCAAATGAAAAATCAGTGAAATGAATGGCTGTTAAAAGTCGAATGAATGATCTTCCTCAAATAGATCCTCATTCGGATGCATGACCGACAAGGATTGAATGAACAATCATTTTTTTTTAAATTGTCAGTTATTAAATAGATAATCAATCCAGTGATTATCAAATGTTAAGCACTAGATTACATAATCCCCAATTTTGAGTTTACGTTTATTTGTTTTTATGTTATCAATATCAATATTGATAGTATCATCAATACCATTATAATTATGGTAATGATATCAAAATACATAAAGCAACATAAGAACAAAAAAGAAGAAGAAGAAAAAAAAAATCAAGGTAGAGGCGAAACAGGTGAGAGAAGTAGGACTTAAAACACACGTGGAACTATCTTTGTCTCAATACACTTCATAAACCGAAACTACGGAGGACGTAACATATCCTCCCCATAGCATGTTATCCATGCCACTTACACTCGGAGGGTTAACTCAGTAATCCATCCAACGACCATCTGTCACACAATAAAACCACAATCAAAAATAATGATTAATAAAAAAAAAATCTATCAAACATTAACTAACTTCCCCTCCCCCCACATACATTAAAACCACAATCAAAAATAACAATCAATAAAAAACTATCAAACATTAACTAACCTCCCCCCCCCCCAGAATGGCTACCCCGCCCGCCTAACCTCCCCCCCCATTAAAACCACAATAAAAAATAACAATCAATAAAAATAAAACCTATCAAACATTAATTCATTCCCCCCTCCCCCCCAGAATGGCTACCCCGCCCGCCGCCGCTCCCTCGTGGACGACGCCAAGTTCGAGAGCACCATCAAGAAGCAGCAGAAGCAGACGTGGATTGAGGAGGCGAAGAGGCTGTCTTGTGGTGTGTGGTTTAGGTTTCTTGTTTTTTTTTATGTTATTTATTTGTCTATTTGTGGTTTAGTGTTTTTTTATGTTATTTATTTGTCTAATTGTGGTTTAGTGTTTTTTTTATGTTATTTATTTGTCTATTTGTGGTTTAGTGTTTTTTTATGTTATTTATGTCTATTTGTGGTTTAGTGTTTTTTATGTTATTTATTTGTTCTATTTGTGGTTTAGTGTTTTTTTATGTTATTTATTTGTCTATTTGTGGTTTAGTGTTTTTTTTATTCTGTTTATTTATCTGTTTACTTATCCATGTGTTTTTTTTTTTTGTTTTTTTTTCTATGTTTTGTTCTCTTTGTGCGTGTCACTGGTTCGTTTTCTTTGTATGTCTCTTTGTTTCGTTCTCTTTGTCTCTCTGACTTTATCTCTGTCTGTCTCTTTGATTCATCCTTAGTCTTTCAGTCTTTCCATCCCTCTCTCTTTCTCTGTTTCCTCTCTTTGTTGCTTTTCTTCTCTTATTTTTGTGATGCTTGTCTTCTCCTTTTCTCAATTTTCTTTTGTCTCCATTCTATGCAGTTCTTTTTGATGTTGTCCTGTTGCTGTACTGCAATTAGAAATTACAATTTATATCAAATGTAATATCATAATACCATTTCCAGCAACAATAACCAATACCCATAACCACACCCACTACCCAAGACAAACAAGCCACATTAAAAAAAACTCTTAACAACACACAAACACCCCTTTCTTCCTTGCCTTTAATCCCACCGCTGCCACCAGACGGGGAGCTGAGCGAGGAGGAGGTGTTCCTGGTCCAGAGTCCCTGCGAGCCGGACGTCCCCCAGCAGGTGGCTCTCGTCCTCGCGCTCATCGATGGCATCACCAATCTGCCAAGGATCATTAAAACCATCGAGGTGAGGTTTTGTCTCTCTCTTTTTCTTTTTTTTTTGTCTCGTGTGTTTATTTCTCTGTTTATCTATATTTGTTTGTCTAGCTCTGTCTCTCTTTTTTTTATCATTTATCTATCTTTATCTATGTCTTTTTCTCTATTTTTGTACCTCTCCCTTTCAATCTCTTTCTCTCTTCTCCTTCCTTTCTTCCTCTCTCTCTCTCTCTCTCTCTCTCTCTCTCTCTCTCTCTCTCTCTCTCTCTCTCTCTTTCTATCTCTCTCTCCACCATACGGCACCAAAAGCTACTCATTCCTGATACCAGAATTCAAGATCTTCAAAAGTTAATGAGGATAAAATGTTGAAACTTTTAATCAATGCGAATAAAATTTTTAAATCTTTAAGCAATAGAAATTAATTATAGAAACCTTTAATCAATAAGAAAAAAGAAAATTAAAGCACTAGAAATAAGATTTAGAACTTAAAAAGTTAATCAGCGCAATTAAAAAGATGACAAGTAAAGTATAAATAAAGTGGAAAAGCGACGCAGAAGGGAAACAGAGAAGAAAGAATCAAACAAGCAGAAGAAGGAAGAAGGGAAGAAAGGAAGAAAGAAAATCAAAGAAGAGAGAAGACAACACCAGAGGAGAAAGAAAAAAAAAGAAAAAGAAAAAAGAAAAGGAGACTTAAAAGGAAAACGGAGTAAGGGGAAGAGAGACGGAAAAATTAGAGAATGGAAGAGAGAGAGAAAAGGGGAGAAAGCGAGGGGAAGAAGGAGGAGGGGAAAAGTGCACCACTCACGCCTTCCGGAAGCGGTGGAGAGCCTCCCCTCAGAGCTGCTATTATGGGGGGGGGGAGGAGCTTGGGGGCGAAGGAGAAAGAGAAGAAAGGGTGGGAAAGAGAGGGGGGGAGGGGGAGGCGATAGATAAATAGAGGGAGGGAGAGAGAGAAAGAGAGAGAGAGATGGAGAAAGAGAAGAAAGGGTGGGAGTGGGAAAGAAAGAGAGGGGAAGGAGGGGGGAGGCGATAGATAGATAGATAGAGGGAGAGAGAGAGAGAGAGAGAGACAGGGAGAAAGAGAACGAGAGAAAGAGAGAAAGGGAGGGAGAGACGTAGAGAGACCGACAAGGTAAGAGAAAGACCGACAAATGTATAGAAGTAAAGATAAGAAGGAGGAAAAACTGAAATAGATAGACGACGAAAATAAACGAATAGGTTAATAAGGCAAAGGAGAAATAATAGCGAATAAACGAATGAACGGCAATTAAGCAATTACCTCTAAATCACTGCCATCCCCCGCTCTCCCCCCTCCCCCCTCCCGCTTTTCCTGGACCCCCCTGCCCCCCCCCCCTTCGTTTTCCCTGTTTCCTCCCTTCACCACCCACTCCCCCCCGCCTCCCCACTATCCCTCCCCCCTCCCCTACCCCCAACTTTCCCTCCCCCCACCCTCACTATCCCTCTCCCCCCCTTTCCCTTTCACTCCCCTCCTCCCAGTCTCGTTATCATCCTTCTCGCTCT